GATCCGCCGATTCGTCGTTTGTGCCTGTTCGTTTTCTTCCGTTGACAAGCATCTATGGAGCTCTCCGTCGATACGTCGAATCTTCGCGGCAAGCTCTTCTATGTATATGTAGCCCTTCATAGCCGCGCGATCGAACGCATCCGAAGCTTGATCAGTTGGGAATACCGCCGTTTTCGATGGTACTCTTCTATCACAGTGTCAGCGACATCATCAGTTGCACAATCCAAATTTAAACAAGCTTCCATGTCGGACGACGAGCTATTTCCATTTCTTGCTTCGCTTCGTCCTCGAAATTCCGAAGCGGCACCGGAGAAACCTGCGTCCATCGCGTCACGCTTGACACGAAATTGGAAGCTCAGCGAACTTCTAACTGGCCGAGTTGTTCGCGTTCATTCCGGAATTCGGATTCCAAGGAGTCCAGTTCGGAACAATGGTCGCAGAAAAAAAGATACCGTAAAGCATGACTTAATCGTTTCTCCGGTGGCTCTGTCCTTTGATGAGCCAGCGGCAGTGTCACCGGTATGCCATTCGGTTTGTCGGGCCGGAATAAGCGGAGCGCACGCCAGAACCCGCACCTCTCTGTATAACGGAATGCTGGCCGAGCGTGTGTTTTCAGCCGGCGACTAAGTGACTTCTTTTGAATGTACACCAGTCCAAATATCCTCACTGTCTGAAGAGCTTGTGACAGAAACACGAAGGACACCAGAAGTGCTGAAGGATCTCACGAGCAACGACGAACTGTCGGGCGGACGAGGGAGGAAGGGAAAGACTGACCTCGTACCACGATTAACAGTCGTATCGAACGCTGCGGTGACGAGAAAAGACAGCAGCAAACGAATCCATTTGAATAAACGGAGGGCCACAGGAAAACAATATTTTTCGTCGACATTCGAGACCGGCGGATGGGTCGTTGACGGTCTTTCTCATGCTAAATTCATTTTCACACGCTTAATCCGGCCTCCCGGCTCGAATTCAAGGCAGAAGCGGAGCGCCACCCGTTGGAACAGGAGCATTCCCTCAACGGTCGTTGCGCCGACGATGAAGTACCCGTTTTTCACCTTGGGAAAACGGTAAAAGGAGGAATTTGAAGTGTGGTCAAGCAGGTGCTTCCCGTAAGGAGGAAAAATGTGGATTCCCGGAAACAATGTCGCTCGCGGTTAGCGGATTTGGCCGATGATTCCGCGCGCGTTCATTTTTTCTTTGTCAAAACAAAGTGCTCGTTTCCTGAATTGATCCGCGTCGCTCGACCCCGAGTAGGTGATGTTCCGCGTCTGCGGAATCAACTTCCGTCGACGGAGTTCCTTCAGGAGACCATCCGGACCGAAGTTTGAAAAAAAATAAACTACGCGAATGAATGAGAGTGAGGCCAAAAGGAAACACTGACTAGAGCCTGGGGACGTTGTCAACAATGGATGAGGCCCAGTAGGCCTTCACAAAACGTGATCCGGTCGCAGGGTCTGCTTTTTCTTCGTCTACGACTTGTGCCGCTGCTGCAGAATTCCTCGTTGAAAGACGGATCGTACCGACTGGTTTGAATTAACATCTTTCCGAAAGCCGTAAGCGTCCGGCTAAACGAAGCGAGAATGCGAAGTCGGAGCGACTGTCCGACGAAGGAACGGTCGGTCGGCTGACCGAAGAAGTGCCAAGTGACGTTTCGGAGCAAGTGTCACCAAATGAGTGTGTTGACACATTGTCAGCGCACATCTGGTGACCAACGAACGTTTTCCGTGTCGCTAACTGGTTCCTCATCGGTGCGGAAGTTCGGCTCATCATCTAATTGCCGACTGCCGTAGGCTAAACGTGGGTCATAGTTTCGGCGTCTGGACGATAGCGGACCTCGATCCGCACGGCCGAAAACGATGTCACGTCTCGCCTATGGCGACGATGCTCCGAGAGACCTGAATCTTCGGCGAGTTTCTCCTCTATGGAGACCTGAGGGCTGTGCTGAGAAAGAAAGGGGTCAGCGTCGGGGAGGATCCGAGTGTACGGATCATAGTCCAATGAGGAAGTTCAATCGGTGAAGGAGGTGTTGGGACCTGCGGAGACGGAAACGAACGGGAAAAGTGGACACCGAAGAATTCGCGCTCCCCCGTGATCGCACCGGGCCTCGAGTCGGGATTTGATACGAGTTCTGCTGTCTTCCTATTCCATTTTCAATTCGTTCCGTTGCGCATCGCGTAGACGCCGCATCGGTCTTTCATATGTTCCTCTCGGAAACTCAGGGAGAGTCTTCTACGCGTAGGCGGTCGGATTCTCTGGTCTATGTCGCTGTGGAGCTTTCTTACAACGTCAACGGATTTCGTTCCGAGTAGCTGGTCATTTTCGATGGGAAATCCTAATATGAATGAAAACACCTGCTCGATACCGAAGGTTTTCTGACGCCCGTATCCGGGGCACCCCCGCCGTCCGTCGATACGCAGCTCCGAGTCAACAGCTCACGACGCGACGTATAATACGCATGCTCGACGATCAGACGCTTACGACCTGACATAGTTCTGGACCATCAGAAAGATGGCGGACTGGCTCACCGACACGATCGGAACACGTTGTCGCCTTGCTTTGTTTTTTCCCTATCGCTCCGAAGTCGAATGATCAAGGTTCCTCGTTTATACTGCCACGAGTGCTCAACACTTTGGGTTGGCATAGCTCATTTACGTCGCCGCCGTGTGCGAAGAAAACCAGTGCGGTATCGAAATACGCTGCTGATCGCGAATCGAAACGAGCCGAGAATTCTCTTCCATGAACTGGATAGCGCTAGAACATACATATGTCAGGGAGGAGCATTGACGAACGAGGATCAACGAGCGAAAATTAACGACGAGGATATAATCGAAAAACGGATCTCACAATAAAACGCCAAAAAACGAATCAGCGCGTGAGACTCCGACGAATGGAAAACGATGCCGGGTCAAGACACCTATTGTTTGTGGGCGCGCGATTCCGTCACTCTGATCCCGCGTGTTTTTGCTACGAGATGCATTTCTGACGCATTAATCTTTGAACTGTTCACATCGAAAGCGAGAATCGTTCACCATCTGATTTTCTCACAATACGACGATTTCCATTTGGCTATCTGCGCCATATTCCATCATCAGCCTAATACACGGTCCAAATGAAGTTCTTTCGCTTCCAAAACGGGAGCTCGCTTTGCTCGAGAGCTGGGCCCGGTTTTCTGATCGGACCCGGTAAAAATCCTGCCTCGAACGGAACTGTGCCGAGCAACCGATATGTTAATTCTCCGTTGATATGAAATGCGGAGGAACAAGGAAGAGAAGTATTTCGAACAGAAAGTCAGTGTGCTTCTTCGCTCGTTCGCCCGCTCGCCGGACTGCTCTATCCGGTTCGCTGAATGAATCAGAGGAATGTATCCGATTCTTATTCTAGATTCGAGAACGAGAGGCGAAAGAGCCGTTTGGCACCGACCTTCATGTGCTACGGCTCTTGTCAGACCCGCCTTCGGAATAGCGGCTCAGCGATTCGTCAATCCAAGCTTTCTGCAACACTCCGAAATAGCTATGGGGGCGCCTCTTCGAATCTCAGAGGCTGCGTGAAGAACAAGGAGCGTGAAAAAACGAGATGGAGTGGGTTGAGGTCGCGATGACGCTCTATGGAAGGCAAATTTCAATCAATACGTTTGAATCTTCCAACGGAATGTGAACTTGGTGTGTCGACAACTCCAGAGGCGCATAGGGTGCCTTGATGCCGACGATTAAAACCTTCGATTGAACGCTACTGAGACTGAGTCGAGCGGTCTTTCCCATGGAACCAAGACGGAGCGTCTGCCGTCGTCATCGACAACGACCGACGAGTTCTCCTTTTCGCCCGAACGACGTCCTTCAAATCACCTTGAGAGCCGTCTGCGAAGACGGCCTATCGAACACCGTTAATGATCCATCGCGTTCCCCGGCGTTGTTGAAGCCAGCCTACCAGGCTGTATGATATTTCCGCGAGGCAGCCGGAAAACAGGACTCGGAGTACACATACATGAACGATGATCCCGTCGGGTAAGGGCGATGAGATTGTAGTCGCGGACTCCCGGGTGATAACTCTCTAGCTCAAATCGATGTGAATGTTCCGAGCGCGACTCGGGAACTCACTGTCAATATTATGATAAGGCGGATTTCATCTGTCCGCGAGACAGACGTTTTCATGACCCTCTTCGAGGTCCAATCATCCGGGGTTCCAATCCGTTGTCTCCGATGCATTGAACTCGCATGGTTGTGCTCTTCTGAGTACAGGTTGCCGCAAAATGATTTTTGCAAAGAGGAGAAACATGTCAACGTTTCGGAACAATTCTGTCAACGTGCTTCGGACGCTCGAGTGAACTAGGGATGTCTCGGCTGTGATTCACCGGTTGCGTACAGGCGCGAATTCGATGGTTTTGAATTTTCTCCAGTGCAAACAGATATGCTTCATTTAGAATGGAAGAACGGGGCCGTGGCTTACGGCTCCCGGAGCCGGGAGCCAGATTCTCTTGGCGAAAAACTAATCAACGGAATTATCCTCGACCAAGTGGACATTGCTGCTGTCAAGTATTTTTTCTCCATGCGTTTCGTCACTCTATGGTCGCGGTCAAGAAATTCGTTCTGGTCACTGAGCTCAGTTTTTCGCGTTCGCATTGTGGGAGCAAATAGCAGCGACGACGACGAGTTGAGTGGTTGATGCTCGGTGCTTGCTGGGGATTCGGATGACTGCGGCGGGAGTAAGGGAAACGAGAAACGAGAGAAAAAGCTCAAAGCAAACTAAAGGGTCTAAAACTCGACGAAGCGGGGATGGAGGTTTTTTCTTGCCTACCGCGAAACCAATTCGCCGGTTTGACGCTTCGGTGGACATCTCACGACCTCATTTTTGAAATATCGCGGATCTGGACTCATTCCTCATACACGGATCAACAAAGACCACCATTCCTGCGTGAATCCACAGATTCCGCGATCTTGCTGCGATCATGATTTTCCCATCTTTACGGCACTTAGTCTTGACTCCTCTTCTGAAAATTCCAGGATCCGACACTTGCGGAGGGTTGTCACTCTCGTCAACAAACACGAATGACTCCGACGAGAGCTCACCGTCGTTCCAGAGTAAATCGCAGAACTTCAGCCAACGGAGACTCATCCATGTGGACCTCATGTTCTCGGTTAGTAAGGACTTCAATTTCAACTATTCGATGGCACACGGCTCTTCCATTGAATTTCGCAAGGTTTGGCACTCCGTTCGTGGGCTCCTTGAGCTCTGACCCTTCTCACGATGGTCAACATTCGAGCCGCGATTTAGGTTCCGATTTTCACTTCGTCTGAGAACGGACAGAAACACTGCTGGACTTTGTAACACTCGCCGCCATTCCGCGTGGCGAGTCACGTTCTCAACTTTGCAGTGTCGTGATCACGTGGTGCTAGGGTTATTTGCCGAACCCACATGTCGATCTGTGGCATTCGGCGCGACTCTGGATTCTCTTCTGGAGTCGGAGCTTTCCGTGCGGTCCCGAGAAATTCGACGAGAGGTCGAGACAGACGCGCAATTGTCCACGGGCTCACGAAGCAATTGTCGTCGTTCTAGAAAAGGAACCTTCAGAAATTTTGAGGGTTCATTTCGGAATTACCGTGGGCATCAGCGCTGACGGTAGCGATCGGGAAACGGGCGCATACAAGCCTTCATTCCACGGGTTTCTTCGCTATGATCCCGTAGCCTTCTTCCTTGACACGATCACCTCTGCTTCGGAAAACATTGGTTTCGTTTGATTTAGAATCGGTAGCTCGAACTCCCGTTCAATCAGAATAAAGTATCCCGTATGTTCCGGGCCCGGGCTTCTGGATGGGGTGTCAGAAATTGTCACTTTCCGTCCGGGATCCTTTCCCTCCTCTCAGATTTCCCCCTGATCTCGTCCAAATCGAATTCGTAATTCGAAAAATCATTAACCCGTATCGTGGTACGCGAATCTCGTTCTTGCATCGGAGTTTTTTGTTTTGATAGATATGTGCCGATTTTGGGGACTCAAGGAGTCAAAGCCGAGAGGTATTCTGTGCTTAGCTCATACTGACACCAATTTCGGAAAATTAATTCCTGTCCGCCTGAGAGAGGGTGTTTCTCGATCCGTTTCTGCCTTGGAATCTGAATGCATAATCTCTACGAGGCGGAGAGCCTCTTGAACGAGTCCATTCGATGCAAATTCCTCTCGGGCAATTTTCTAGGATAATGGTCGGGTCGGGTCCATCATCGTGGCTATCCGAATCCGTGAACGGCATTAGGTTAAAAATTACGCAAGGGCCGAGTCATGTAGCGTTCTCACGTAACCAGCCCGGAGTTGCAGCTTGTTAAAAGTTGGAAACAACTTCCCCCATCTGCGAAACAGCATTACACACGAATGCATTTATTTAGAACGACTTGCTCAATAGTTTGTATGGTAAGAAAGGAGCAATTCGGAATCAAGTGTCACAGCGATCTTCAAGCGTTGTTCCATCGCAAGTCCGCGGAAACGGTGATGAGAAGCTTTGACTAAAAATTCAGAATAAACACTCGAACGAAAGCCACTGAGACTGATTATGTCCAGCATCAACACAAGCTACAGCTTCTGGGTGTTGTCGCGAAACGGGGCTCGTCATGGGGTCAGGGTCGCTTTCGCAGCACCGGATTTGCCATTGGTCAAGCTCATTTTGTCCTGTTATATTAATTTTTCCTTCATTCCTCCAGGACGACGAGCTGGAGGACAGCGAAAGCGTTCTATCGGGATCTTCGCTCACGAAGCATCCATCAATCGAGTTCCTCAACCAGAGCCCGCTGTCAGAGCACCAGAGTCTTCCAGCCAATCTCAAGCGCCGTGCTTCACGACTGTCCTGGCAGCGGCCGAGCATCGCCAAAACAAGCGGTAAGAGGATTTCCACCTTCATTTGGATAGGTTTTGGGATTCCCTCAACTATCGAAGCATGATGGACACGAAGCACATAAACAAGCTCTCCATACCGCTGCCCTTGTTCACTGCTTCTCGTAAGAATGTAGGGGATGAGTCAGCCGGGTGGAACCATTACGCCGAATGCCAAAAAGCGTTCTTCCCGAAAACAAAACCAAGTGGTAGTCTCGTGTGCGTCTCTTCTTCTGTCGGTCCCCCATGTCAGAAGAGTCCCAGAAGAAGTTCTCTTACGCCCGAAGTAGCCTTGTATTCGGAGATTTGTTCCTGATACCTGTCTGCAAACCATCAGTTCTGACTCCTGGAAATGCGCTTTCCGATTCATTCAGCGATGTTTTCTGTTCGAGCCCCAACAAGCAACTCCCCTGTTTTGCCAGGGTTTCTTTCTTGGAAATCAGGGCATTCAGCCAATACACTTTGAAATTTCAATCATCCCTCAAAATAATGGATTCTGCCGCAGTCATTTGTGTCACGTCTTACCTATATACTTGTCTTTAACGCAGCGAAAGATTTCAAACCCCTCGCCTTGCATGCTTGGAATATTGGCGGCTTTGCCTATAGAGTCAGTGAGCTGGGAATTCGGTATCTCTTCCCTTGGGAGTTCGGAGTATTTCCTGGAAAATCGTGCCTCCAAAGAATAAGAAGGAAAACCGACGTCCCCTAGTCCCTCACGACGAATTCTCCGTCATCCACTAGCTAGATGTGAATCAGGAACCGCGAAGAGAACAATCCTCCCTTCCGCAGCTGAGGTTCCAAATCCCTGGAATTGAGGACTGACAGAAAGGGACGTTTCCCAAATTGCAGATTCGTCGATTGCTGTGCCTCCGCGTACCCGCAAGCTGTGGCGACGACATTCGATCGATGTGTGCGATGCGGAACATCAGGAAAAGCTGGTTAGGAGCGATCCGTTTAGGAAATCACTCCGTATTCGACACGAGGTCTGTCTAGACACGAAGACTTCGTCTGACACCAAAGATTCCGCGAACAACCGAAAAATCGCTATTGTAAATAAGGTAAGCATCGGCTCCCGGGAGGATGAGGAAAAGAGGATATTCGACTGCGGGCATCGAATTACCAACGGTCATTGAACGATCTATTTTCGAAAATCCCCACGCCGCCTGTTTCATAATAAGCGAGTCCCAATCGCATATTTACATCCGATTATGGTGCTGGTGGAGCTCGGGAGGCATTTCGAAAAGAACCGGGGGAGTTCCTCCGGAATCGGTCAGCCATACCACCGCGGAGTGGGCTCGCCCCGATCGAAACCGGTGAAATCGCTGAGAATCGAATTCTTGTGTTCCAGCAGCTGGAGTGCCTTTCTTTGACTCTTGAGGAGGTCGCTCACATACGCTCGGTGATGACGAAAGCTGAATTGGAGACCTTATTGGTGACTCCTCAGCTGTACGAGGACGTGGCCAAAAGCAAGGTGTGCTTCACCTGTAGGAAGAGCAGATTCAATGTTCTTTTTAGCAGGCCGATAAAGTGTCACCTCTGCGAACGAAGCGTCTGCGACAAGTGTTCCACCAAGATGCACATACCCACGCACAGGTGAGTCGGAAATCATCAGCTTCCTCACCGATATAGGCACAAACCTGAATATCGCGCTACACCGTCACTCATAGCCCAGGACAAGTCGACTTCCGATCGGGTCGAAGTTCGAACCAGGGCAACACCTCTAGAGAATTAATCATCGAATGACCTATTTGTCACCCCTCCAATCGATTTTCTTTCTTTCGTCGACAGATTCGACAGAATCCCTGTGTACATGTTGTCGCCGAGTACACCGCCAGAAGACTGTGCACCAGACGTTCCACTTCGTGAAAAGAAGAACCGTAAGAAGAAGGACGAGATTGAAAACGCCGTGCAGACATTCACAAGGTTCGTGGCATTTGAATGATTGTCGGCTGTGTCTGGATTGAGTAACAATGAAATTCGGACGTTCCCGCATCGTCTTTGTCAGATCTTGACCTCCACATCGTACGTTCTATTGGCGGTCCACTGAATATTGATGGCGCATTTGAAAGCTTCAGAAGACGGCATAGGTAGAACCATTGAGGCCATGCATTGGAACGCCGCCGGACTCATTGCTTCATACAAATAGATGTCTCGCTGTGTGTCCGTCGGCGGAGTCTTTCCTATTTGTATGGACGCCTTTAAGGATTCACTTCCTAAATCCACTTTACTCAAAACTTTCAGTGGGTCGGCGCCTTCGTCCCCGAACCTGAGTTCGAGAACCAACGGCTCGAACGTGACGACAGTGTGCCAAGAGGCAGATCTGGATTCCGTAACGCCAGAGCCCGACGATCCCGAGAAGAAGAAGAAATCGTGGCAGGACTCGATCTCGAAAGGACTCTTGAAAAGGCCTTCGATTCTACGGGTTCGGGCAAAGCTCCGAGGCTCGAAGACCCCGAGTCAAAGCGACGACGCGAAAAGCGATCTTTGCGAAAAACTCAAAGCACCGGTGTTGCCCGTGTGCCGCGATTGTAAATATCTTGTCCGGTCGATCATCCTCTCGAACCGGAATCCCATTGTGAAGAGCCACAGTGAAAACTGAGGCATCCTCTGATGGCGTTCGGGTTTCCGAGGAAATCGTTCATTTGTACATAGGAATATGGGTAGACATTGGCGTGAAAAAGGAGCATTCATCTCTCCTTCGGCGCCGATTATGATTTCGTGGTGCAATGCCGAGTGATCGGAATCATCATCTGTATCAGTAACGGTATATTGTGGATCCTCGATCACAAACTAGCAAGACCTACCCGCAGAAGGTTCCGGAACACGATAGCGTCGCTTGCTCGCTTGTATGCCGGGAAATTAGCGAATGCCATGAAATTCGTTGTATTAAATTCCTTATGTGATGCTCCCCAGCTCGGGCTTGATCGTGATGTCCGATGGCGATATCATGACTACTTCCCGACGCTCTTCTATTGTATAGGGAAGCGAGCTTTCCCTTGGAGGGTGACGATCGAGGCGTAATATATTCTACTTTTAGCCTACGAGAGACAGACAGAATAGCGTGTGACGTATTCAGACAGAGCGTAGAACCATCTTCATTGGCATGGAATAATATGATCAATAAAACGTAATACTGCTAACTGAACTAAACGGCATTCCTTGATAACATCTGATGGATTATTAGAGGTTTCAAGTGTCCATAACTTGGACATGCTTTCCGAAATTTTTGCCGGGATCATACCCGGAACGTCGCGTAAGTCAAGATTCGGGCGCCGCCGCGCCGCACAATTTCTGATCCGCCGCAGAGCGGAAAGGACAATAAGAGCCCCAAACTGAGATATGCAAATGTCGTGAGCCTGGATGAGTCTTGAAAAGTTGCTCGGCTCCATGCCTTGCGAGTAGGATCAGCTCCTGCTAACAATAAGCCGAACGAAGGGACTCTGAGCAACTATCTTGAAACTCATAGGTTCGCCATGAGCTCATGGCTGATGTTCTCTGTCGTCTTCTTTGCCTTTGCTAACCTTGTTCCTGCAAAGTATATGCACGGCAGGTTCCGCCCTGAGGACGGCGGCGATTGTCACGCACCGCGACGTCGATCCCACCAAAGTGAGCCAATGGCTTGACGAGATAATTCATAGCAATGCTTTTACCGCGACCGATGCGTGAGTCTCGTTCGTGGGCTGAGTCATGCAGCCGAAGTTTCAGCCGTAGGTCTAGGATAATGAGTCATGCTTGGGTCAACTGCGCCGCGTTGCGCCAAGGTTTCGGGAGCAGTAATGAAGAAAGAACTCGATCTGCGAGGCGATTTCGCCATCGGGATGACTCACCTGCCCTCTTCCGAGGCTGATCCGGGAATTCATCTCATCGGGAGCTCTTATTCTAAATAAATGCTGTGAATGATCCACAGCCTGAAAACTAAACCATATTCAATGGGTTTCTAATTCTCCAGGATTCATTTCCTGGAGACAGGGAAATTTTCGCCAGAGGACCTTGCCAGGATTCTGGAAGCTCGCGAAGTTCCGCGGAGCCCTTTGCGTTTCTGTAATGGCAGTCCGCCGATTGAACGGCTGTCCCTTTGCCCCGCGAGTCTCCACCCCTGTTCACCGTACGCCGTAGCGTCCTTCCACGAGCTTCGTTTTCTGTCGCTTCATAGATAAAAATCAGACGCCGTGAAGTTGTCCTCATGACATCTCAATCCACTCCATGTGTCACGTCGGCCCGAAGAGTGCGGGCGTGCCTCAAGTTCGTGGAACATCGCATGCACGTGTGCTAGTGGTCACGCTTTCATCGACCGCAGGGGCCGGGTTGTTTTGATTGCCGGGCGGTGAATCCTCCAGAGTTGCCTCCTGCTGAAGGGACCATGGAAGTTCTCGTTTGATCGAACACAGACGAGCAGGGGCCCCCACCCAGGACGAATTCTTCCGAGAGACGGGTCGCGGAGCGCTTATCCTGAGAGACCACCCTCCAGTCGGCCGAAGGAGGGATTTCGAACTCCTCGGATTCATCGAACACGCGACGAGGACGCCACAATGATGAAGGTTCAGGCCGACTGTGAGATCTCCTTCGAGCAGGTGGTGCTTTTGGTCAGGCATGTGTGCCGGATTTCAGGCTCCGTCACCCAGAAAACCTTCCATGAGTATTTTCCCCATCTCGAGGACGAGACCATCGAACGCATCCTGGAGATTTTGCTCGAAACCCGTCACATTCAGAAAGGCGAGAAAGGAAAATATACGGTCAGTCACCGCATACACTTAATTATTTTTGTTATCAGTTGAGCATTACTATCCTGCTTCACCGACGTCACCCGCCCGTACTCATTATGCTCCCGGTTCTTTGCAGTTCGTAGACATCGAGGAGAGCGTAGAAACCGGAGATTTGGACAAAGAGCTCGAAGTCCTATCCAAACTCAAACAGATCTATGTCGAAGGCTTGGCTGGGAAAGTCTGTCCCCCCGAGTGCAGCATCACGCCCGCTCGAGACCCGGGGGCCAGACCGAGAAGCACTTCTTCGGCGTCGACATTCGAGTCGAACGGATTCGGGTCCCTCAGAAGATCCCAGGAAGCTCAATTACAGAGACGAATTTCGTTCACCAGTCGTGCGAAGAACACGCAACGCTTCACGAGAGGTGCGCGGAAATCTTCTCTGAACGATTTGTCGATGCTAAGTGACGATTCCGGATACCATTTTTCCCCTGACCATGGTAAGCCTGGAAACAAAGAATTGATGGAAATCAAAACCATGGCCAGATGCCCCGATTTCGCTGGGCGAGGGAATAGCTCGGAAGGCGAGTTCGAGAGCAGAGCGAGGAGCCCTCCGCCAGAACTCAATCAGACCTTCTCCCCACGGAGAGAAACGGCTTTTTACCGTGCTCTCGGCGCAAATCCACAAGATCTCGATTCGAGTCGCTGTGAAGACCCCTCTTCTGACGAAGACGGCATAGCTCCATACGATCTCTCGTCATGTCTCGCCGCTCTTGAGCTCGAATCTATTGAAGAGAGGCAACCGCCACCTCGGAGAGAAGCGGAGCTCTCCGCGGGATCCACGTCGACGCAAGGAGATACCGAGCCGAAGATCGAGGCCGCGGATTCCGGAGCGTGTAGATCAAATGCGAATCCCATTCCGAAAGAATCATCGCCCATTCCCTTAAACAGCAAGTCAATGCAAGGGAAGCCATCGGGCGCCTCAGGAAAATCAGCAAATCTCCAGGTGCACTTCGACGAAAGCTCCCGCTCTGCTGTGCCTCGCGTTCGCGATGCATTCCATTGGACCAAGCCAGATACCGAGCGAGAATTGGAAGATCCATGCGAAGCCCTTGAAGCATATTGTTCGTCTCATGCTTTAAAACCGCCGGCCTATTCGCTGACATATATGCCGCTCGAAGAAGTGTACTATTGCATGGTTTTTGTCGGGAGGTCAAGTTTCTTATCGTATCCGATAAGCTCGAAAACCGAGAAAAGAGCTCGAGAGGTGGCTGCCGAAAAAGCCGTCAGGAAACTCGGTGTCACTGCTCAGATGGTTGCCGACGGAATAATATCGGAGCCACGGAATGAAAAGTGATTGAATCACCTAGATATGATCGAGTCGATGCGCGAATTCCGTGAATTGGTCTTCAAAAGTTGGTTTTCTTCGGGAATCTCATAAGAGCCTGTCATATTCCTTCGAGGCTCCGCGATCGAAGAAGCGTACCGCCTGTAGAGCTTACCACGCTCCTCTCGAGATCGCTTCGCCGTTGAGGGAATGGAGTGAACGTCGGAACAGATACTCGCACCTTTGATCGTGATCGACAAATATGTGGATATTTTTAAATGCGAAACTTTTATCAATTGAGTAACTTAAGGATTGATTGGAAACATTTTTCGGCGGAGCTCGATCGGACGCGCTCGAAATAAACTTGCTGAAGTGGAACGTTCTGAAGATCTTACCAACGAAAGCTCCAACCATGATTCGTCTTTCGGGGCTGATCCCGTTCGAGTTCGTCTGATGAGAACCAGACGTATTTGGATTTTACGATTCAGGAGAGATCAGGAATCGAGGATTCACTCGCCTTATACATTCACTCTCTTCGCAGAGCATTTCATAAAGCAAACAACCGCTCCGGTATCTTCGGTAGGCTTGCTTCTTTCGCCTGTGTCCGTTAGGGTCTCGGATTTGGGAGGAAGCTACGGGGCGCGACGCCGCAGAACCTCCTCGAAAGTCGTCCACTCCGATGCCCGATGGAGTGGAATCCGTCGCGAATCTCTCTACTCTTTCAAACCTGGAAGTAACGCCTCCAGATCCGCTTCCGATGATGCTTGGCACTCGGGCTTTCCAGCTTTTGTGAATTCTCGCGCCCCAGATGGCGGCGAGATCCTCGGAGCTGTGGCGAGGAGCTACAGCAGTAGCGCTATGTTTCGTTCCTCACAGCATAAGAAACGCGAGACGTTCGTGTACGTGGCCCCCGGCCCGGGAGTAGAACTCGGTCACAGGGCTGTGATCCTTGATGCTCGATTGACTTTTTTGAACGGAAGAGGTTCCTTCTGGAGTGGAATCCGCTGATATCCCCTCCGGCAGATAGATCGATAACTCTTTACATCAAGATGTGCGCCATTTCCTATGTTCCATGGGTCCAGGTTCTATTCGGGGCGTCCCACATTACTTAAGTATACGGCGACGAGGGAGCGGAGACCCGAATGCCTGAAGGGAACGAGTATGGATCACCTCGGCATCGAGGCACGAAATCAATGCGGAAGAGAGCGCCTCAACGAAACGGGAATGGTTTTAGATTTCTCTCAATGATCCGCGTTTCATCATTCTGTGATATATGACGGCAATTTTTCCGGCGATAGGAATTTCTGCGGGAGCGGCGGAAAAGCGAACTCATTCACCCCAGGAGATTGGTTACCAATGAAGATGGATCGCAGGGGATGCCCTTTAGCTCATTCATCGACTTGAGATATACAAATTTGTTATCTGCACTCCGTACGCCCCTACGGTGCTATAACGCGCAGTCCATGATACCTTCGCTTGACCCTTTCCAGTGAGCAAGTGAACGCCTCTCCCGCGCTGTGCGAACGTCAGGCATCCTGGAAAACTTTCATCTCTGGTAGCGGTGCGCCTTAGTTGATCTCCAGACTATTTGTGAACGGAGCTACATTTTTCTCATATATTCATCGAGAACTCAGCGGTGACATTTGTGCGAAAACCGGATGTCATCTTCCCCGGACTCAGGTTAGTCTGCCGACTGGGACTTTAGTCTCGAAACACCGGGTTCTCCGTACCTCATGCAGAGTCAAGTCGATTACTTTCATGAGGACATCCATTTTGTCGAGGGAAATCTTCGGTCCTGGCTCCGGAGTACTCATAGATGGCGCCCATTGAATCATCATCGATTACTATCATTACTCGCCGTTTCTCAGTCGGCACGGGAGGCTCTCTTCATATTGTAGGTATCTTTGCCATCATCTCGCGGGTTGACCTGTTCATTTTCGGCGGGGGATTTAGGGGCCCCTCGACATGAAAAGCGACAGCGACGACAGCCATCCCCCAGAAAGTCATCTCTGTCTGACACCGCGACGTTTCCATCGAGCGCTTCGGCGCCATTGAATAGCGCGCTGCGACTCCGCCGTCCGACTGATTCAATCGCTGATCAGCCAAGAACGGTATCTAGAAAGTTCGTGTGGAACTTGATGTGGCGGAACCGATCACTGAACCCCGCGGCTCCGGCAACAGCGATGACGATGAACCGTGGAGAATTGGGCCTATGAATTTTTCGAAGGGTACTGCACGGAATGTCCATCTACAAGGCCATGAGATGATTTTGTGACTCGCCTGGGGATCTTCGACAACGTGTTTTCAATCCCCGTGAGCGTGTGTGACAGAGTTGCGAGCGGCTGCCGCCCCCTGGAGACTGTCGTCATGGTGTGACATTTTCGTTACGGAACTAGTCTCGGAAGACAGTCTGCTGTACCAGTTTCACGTGACCTCGAATGGTCACGGCGCGTATTGAGCCTGACATCTATGTAGCATCGCCAAACGAAACGAGCCAGCGCCCTCTGTCAATGACTGGCTGCCTAGCGCGCTCGATTGGTGGATTCGAGCTGTGTGATTCATTAGGTCGTTCTGTGTTCCCGCAAGCCACGGACTGAATATTCCAGCTCCCCGCAATACGAAAGTAAATATCGGCACCGCTTGTGAGAGTGTAGGACGATGGGGGAATTCTAATTAGGAAGCTTCATTCGCAACTGTCAGAGCGTTTCCCCACACTGAAGGAAATCTTCCTCGTCTCATTCGCCAACGACACGGGCTACCACAATTTCAGAACCAGGCGGTAGTGACAGCGACAATATTTCGCTTCTTTTGCTGATGCTTCAAGAATTGCTGAGTTCGCAAAACGGTTCTCAGAGCGGGGCGAAGGTAACGCGAGGGCGTTGGTCACGTTTGAAACATAGCTCGTTTTCCGAGCACGGCCAGAATTTCACTTCAGAAGGCGGGAATCCGACACCTGTTTCTACTCCACCGTTTGTGTTTGGGTACAATCAATTCTAACCTCGAGCAGGTCGACCTCTTCTCTCGTAGTACCGTTGTCCTCGTCAGGGTCACCACCGACGAATCGTCCGGTGGTCGGCAGGTTTGACCCTTATCGTCGAAGCGGGTGACTCAGAAAATCCGTGGAAGACCGCTTTCACTCTGTGAGCTTCGTGATGGCAGAGGTCGGTGCTGAGACGGAACTCAGCATTTTCTTGAAAGTTCCCGTCATCTTTTCCCTCAAGTCTTCCGTCAGGTTCTCCATCACGCTTCCATTCAGAAATCCGGTGAGGGTTGATAGGGATGATCGGATCCCATGACATGGATCGAGCTCCTGTCGCAATAACCCTCCGGGAACTCTCGGTACGTCGAAATTCGGCTTTTGACGAGCTCAAACCAGATCCAGCCCAGAAAACCTGATCGTTTGCTCCAGGGTCAATTTCGAATGATTGAATCGAACCATCTTTCAACTCGGAGGTCGATAGAAGAGCGAGCTAGCAAGCAAGCGAGCGGGCAACGGATGAGTCAGAGATACGCCGCGCCGTGGCGGGTCTTATTCCGTCAGACTTGTCGACAATGCGGCTATTTTCGTCCGGCACCTTACGTTTCGCTGAGGCTACGCTGTGTCGAAGGTCGACCTGTTGGAAGTCCACGACGTCGGCAGCATCGACTTTCGTATTTCCGTGACGGTTCTCGCTGTCATCGGTAGCCCCCACCCATGTACTTACGCGGCAGGGCGAGGCTTCAGCCGAATCGTCACGGCTTCCGAGACGCGCCCATCTGGAGCAGGTGCGAGAATGAAGGCTGTGGCAACTACCGCCTTATAAAACAACCTGGTCCTAGTCCTGGAAGTTCTTCGCCTAAAAACCAGATACAAGCGATGAAGCGATGCGAAATGCGGCCGTCTTCAGAAGGGCCTTTTCAGAAGCTTATTCTTCGAAGCGTGCTTCCAAATGCAGAAATCGAAAATGACCAGGCTTTGAGCCCACGGTGCGTTGCCCCGTAAAAATCGACTCCGAGCTCGGTGTTTGTGCGCGGTGAGCTCAGTGAGGGTTAGAGAAGACTATGCAAATGACGAACCGGAACTTCCTGGATACGATCCTCAGAGTGTCGTAAGCTCGAGACTTTCCTTCATGAAGGGAACCTTGGAGGGAGAAATCCGTCAGTCGAGCCCTGAAGAGGGATTATCAAAAGGGAAAAAGCCGCGCGGGGAGTAACCAGCATGGGAAAATATAACACCGTTGCAGCGAGCGGAACGGAGCGGACTCGCGCTCCATTACATGCGCTGTGAGGTCGGGGTTCAAGCTTGCAAGAGCCTCGACTTCGACTCTCCAGGCGGCTCCCCGATCGGCACTGCGCGAGCGCATCGTTCCTCCGCTCGAAGCTTTGCGTTTGTTTATAACGGCTCTTCCGTGGCTGAGTACTGTTCGAGTAAGAAGACTTCGATCTCGGGCCTCAACAAGTTATTCATCGAAATTCTGGTACGTATTGCAAACGTGAAGTATCTCATTCCCGGAAACATTTTTGGTGCGACACGGGTATTTCGGCGTAATTTATCCGGGCTTCGCGATCCGCTCTCCTGGAATGATCCCGCGAAATTGCGCCGCTCGAAATCGAATGCCATCGAGTTCCTGGATCCTGAGGCGTATAGACTCCACAATCTCGAATTTTGAGAAGAGAGACTGCGCTTGACCCTGATTTCGCGGGCCAAGTTCGATTTCGAGTCCCAGGAGTCTCACGAGTAGGCGCGGTCTCCGGGGAAGAGGTGGCGACTCGGTGGAATGACTCATTCCAGCCGTTGGACGGGATGGCTGCCAGCCTTTAGCGATAGCTCCCGCTCACCTTGGGGATTATTGTAACTTCCGAATCCAGATTACGCTCGCGGCGTGCGGAGGAACCAGTTATCTTTGGAGAAAGCTTCCCGAGGCAAACCGATATCGAACACATCGAAGCGGATTCAGGTCATTCGATATGTCGGCGATCGAGTGAATCGATAAGAGTTGCGGCCTTGGCCAACTTCCTGCATGACGGTGCGGATTCCGGTTCCGACATCTCGGAGCTTTCGTGCATGGCCACTATGAATGCTAGAGTTTGACGACTCGAATCCCTTTATGGAACCGCGGAAACATAGCAGTAAATCTTCGGTAGAGTGATTGTCCCCTTACATTGCTCGAACGCGAGGGTGGAATCCCCATCGGCTTACTCTTTATAGAATAAGGGTCGTAAAAATTCGTGTTCGTCAAACGTTTCTGACTTCACAGGCGACTTTGGTAGAGGAGGTAAGACTCGGGGACCTGTTTCGATTCAAAAATATAGTCCGAGCCGCTTATGCGAGAGAGAAAAAAGGAAGAAGTCGGCGGCCGCCTAGATTTCGCGCTGGTCTATCGCTAACACTAGAGTCAACGCTACGCGAGAGGGGTAGTGCGATCCCCGAACTTCCTCGACTCACCTCAGTTTCCTTTCTTCTCTACAGCAATGAGTGATGACGCGAGACCTGCATCGGCATCTGCCGGATCCCCACCCGCAGATGGGGAAACGCCGTCATTCCAGGAGCAATTCAAAAGTTTCGCCAAGTTCGGAGACTCAAAATCGACTGGCGACGCGATAACGCTATCGAACTCTGACAAGTGGTTCAAGCAGAGCAAGGTCATCGATGGGAAAAAAATTACAACCACCGATACCGGTATCTACTTCAAGAAGATTGCCAAGTGAGTCCGATCTCTTCCCTGCAGATTACGATATATCCTTCTTCTGACGCTGAGTATTGTTCTTCCTCTCGAGCTCTGGGCCCCTGAACGAGGATGTCAGCCCCCTCGAGCCCTCAGTGAGCACGCGCGCGCAATGAATGCGAGAATCTTGGGATGTTCGACCTTAGCTTAGGCGGAGTCGATCATTGATGGGCTGTGGCCACCGCGCTGGCGAGAACCCTTGGGATGAGAAGAGACAGCAAGGTGCATACCCAATCCTGACCAACAGTGCGCTACCTCATACAAGGCTGGTTTCTTCAATCACTGGTGCTCGGCGGTGGGGTGGGTCCGTCCATCACCTGTGCTAATTTATCGGGTCATAACCACCGGCGATCCGCCTCATGCGTCGGCTTAGTCGACCAATAAGACTCGACGGTACTACCATTTGCCATCGCTTTTAACCCAGGGGGAATATACTCGGACCTCGGGCTATCTCGAGACTCGAGATGTCGAAGGAAAATGGAGCCTGGGGAAACTTGCGAAAACCGAATAATTCTCCTCCACGGAATCTCGAGCTGAAGAATCGTCAATGGTCCAAAGTGACCACGATTTCTCCCCAAGTTTCCCTTAGCGGAGGTTTCTTCTGTGCAAGGATACATCCCACGACAGAGCGTGGAACGGAATCAACCATAAATTTTTCCTTCTTTCCTGCAGGACAAAAAAAGCTCTCACGCAGAAAGAGTACGAACAGTTCTTGGACGAAATCGCGAAGAACAAGAAGGTTCCCCTAGAAGAAATTAAACAGAAGCTGTGCGCGTGCGGACCGCCGGCAACGAGAATTCAGGTAAAAATAATCAGTCGATACATCGATACTATTTGCCGCTCTTCGAGGGACAACGTCTCTCCATGGACCCTGTTGCCACTGCGGATGAGTTGGTTGATAGCCGGATGTTCTATAAATTGAAGAGTCATAGTCCGCTCGGGCTTTCAAAGCAGACGGGCGTCCACTTTGGTGCGTGACCCACTTTCGTGGGGGTCAAGGCCGTCGAGGCCGCGATGCGACCGCGCACTTCTCTGAAAGCCGGTCCTCACCACCGTGGATGGTCGAATTCATCACGTACATAGGAACCATTTTTTCTACAGAGCGCTACGGCAACGGGTGCGGTCGCTAGACTCACGGACCATACCAAATATACGGGGACCCACAAGCAAAGATTCGACGATACCGGTAAAGGAAAGGTATAATGCCCAGTGCTCATCATGGCAGCAACCAATCTCGCCTCACGATTCATCCCTGATTTTGAATCATTCCCTCACTTCCGACCTATCCCACACCTCGGCACGTACCACCAATTTTTTCTCGGTGTCAATTCTGCACGATGTTCGTCATAGAAACCTCAGGAATCTCCCGAAACATGTAGAAATGTCAACGTATTAATAATGAGGCACAGTATTCTACGGAAGACGTAAAAGCATGGGCCTCTGTCGCTTCATTTCCGCTCTCCGCATTCTGTTGCCTCTAACTCTGTGACTAAATGTTCGCCCGCAGGGTAAAGAAGGACGCGTGGATCCCCCCAAAGACTCAGGATACGTCTCGGGCTACAAAGAGGAAGGCACCTATGACTCCACCCACTAGAATACGTCTACGGGGGCCGTTTCTGTCATCTGTTCCAATAGCGACATCCTTATTCTGTTGACTGAGCTTCACATCGTTGTCTCCCTCACCTCGTGGACTGTACATAAAATAATCAAATTCTCCTTACTCACTCCCTCTCCGCACCAGGAGGGTGATTACTAATTACCTAGCTGATTTTTCTTGCCCCTCACCCAGCGATGTTTCTAGTTATCGATGAGCACTCCATAGGAGTAGGATGGATGTCGGCCTCCAATGCTAACAAAAGACCCCGGCGGAGCTATCATTATGGCTCTCTTCAATCGACGATGCGCTTGTAAAAACGTCACACCGTTCGGGTATTTGGCACACTTTTGCAGTAGAGGGTTTCCGATACCTCTATTTCACGTCTGTTTTGTCAGGTCCGAGCGTATCTTAAGACGTCGAGTGAAAATGAAATCGAATCATGAGAGAATTTCGACTCATGAGCCTCTGGGGGTTAATCTACGCGGGGATTTTGCGGTCGAGTATGAGCAAAGAGCATACAGCGCATAAGATCTGCTTGTGTATACAACATTTGATGCGTGGAAGGTTACGGATGAATCAGTAGAATATGACTGACTGAGCTGGAAAATTTCCTAGAGGAATGGTTAGAACCCTCAATAATGATGTGTGAGCCGTTTGATTATTGGACAATGAGTATGACATCATCAATCTTTGATAGCAGATCAATCGATAGGATCGGTACGATATCACGATCAAATTCCATGATTGGTTGGGGAAGAAAGAAAGTCATTGATATTCTCTGTACAATGCAGCTGATCTGGAAAATAAATCCGACCCGACATGAGCATGAGAAATCAAAGAGACTGTCTCCACCCTTTATCTGAGGCTTGTAGATTCGATTTTCTCACCGTTCAACAACAGGCACCATATACGCAGCTGCACGACCGCCGCTCCTCCGACGGGCGGGATGAGGATCGACTGAAGCTCCGAAGTACCATCTACCTTTATTGGATGTTGGGCACAGAATCCCAAGAACGATCTCCTCCCCCTTGGGAGCAGCGAGCCTATGGGGATTCCCGAGAACGGCCTCCTGACTTTGCGGTCTTGCCGGCCGTGATGGTCCTCTTGATTTCGCGAGATCCTTGCCCTCGGTACCGAAACGATGGGGAGAGCGCGGTGGAAAGGACTTCATCGATCCCGACCGCGGCTTATTCTCGGAAGAAGACTCTGTGGCTTACACCTCCCCGGACCAGCGGGAAGCTATTTATTCTCTGATCGGAAGGAGAAAATGGCGGATTCCAACTTGGATAAACTGTTTATTAGCTTCTAGAATAACACTCCTTAGTTTTCAAACATTGAAGGCAAGCTAATGATGTGTACTTGTATACAGTGAGAAGTGTCCGGGCGAAATTTTCAAATCCACGAATGAGTCGAACCACAACTTACAATTCATTATTCATTCAGGTGGAAAATCTGACACTACGAGCTGTCGTTCGATTCTGATTGTTCATGCGCCTCACAAACTAAAGCGCACATGAAAATTCCCTCCCAAAGCGATTACAGAGATACGCCAAACTACAGTCAGAGTTCTCTGTTTTTTTCTGCTTGAAATTCGGAAGACAGCTCGTGATTCACAATATGATGCAGGCTTTATGCGTGGATTCCGTGAGATATTAAATAGCAACTGGCAACATGAAATATATGAAGGTTCTTTCCTTAATTTTAATGTAATGGAAGGCAGGATCCGTGCAGCAGGATTGCTCAACGATGATACATAGCCAGTGCATACTCGCATTGGCATCGAGTTTTTCTGATTTGTCTCGCTTTAAAGAGAGCCGAGAACGGAAAGTCCTCGGAGGACATCCTATAGTTTCGCATTCCGGATGAAGTTGCTCAGTCCGTCCGTCGATCCCGTCAGTCGATGACGACTGTCCACAAGCCACGCATGATCGCAAATTCTCATTAATTATTTCATGAGGCTGTTGCATAGCGAATGCTATACAATACAACTAGCTCTGCTTCGGTGCTATACAAGACTATAGCCACCTGCAAAGCAGCTGCTGGCGGTGTGAGAACGAACATTTCGGCAAGCTCATTTCGTATCGAACAGACAAATGGCACTAGAGCGGCAGGACGCAGCCTGCGTGAAGAATGGCTGCGTCCGCTGCAGAGGCGCAGAATGCGCGCTGCGATACCTCGGGCGTGACTCGCCTGGGAACAAACGAATTCTTAAAATCTGGTGCATGGGCTGTACAACTTCTGCGATATTACATGGATTGCATCAACGGTGGGAGATATCTCGCTGCGAGCCGGTATGATACCTTCGAAAGACACTGACCTTTTGGTTTAGGTGTGAGACTGCGATCAACTTCGGACCTAGCCTGAGAACTCATCGAGCTCATGCTCCAATTTGAGCCCCGCCAATCGTCAGCTGGTGTACTCTAGAAAAGGAAGAAAGATATGAAGATAATCCGGTAAGTTTTCGAAATTATCCCATGGACTTCCTCAGCGATGAGCATATCGATGCAGAGTCGAACTTCGCCAGCAATGCGCAGGCTAGATAAAGACACACAAAGAGTATTGGGCACTCGGCACTAACCTTCAGGGGGGTGCTTGCTTCGTACAAGGTGGCGGTATTATGGAGCGATTTCGAGCGCACGTTCCTCTTCATGTAGACCACGTTCATGGTGTCATGCCTGCTTAGGAAATGCTCGAGGGTGTCCCAGCCACCTCCCACCCTGATCATGACGTGCTTCTCTTTCAGCAACTGCAATAAATTGGAAGGATCTTTTATCGATCGGTGACCAAGGGTGAACTGTAACTCATGATAGAAGCCGGGATACCGAGGCTTGTGACATCGAAACGGGAATTCTCCGCCGAAATGAAGAGGAATGTACTCACTCGAACAAAATAGATCCGACCCCCTATGCAGTATCTGCCTTCAGCTACCCGTTCCACCAAGGGAATCTCCTGTCTTTCGACGATCTTCTGCGTTTCATGTCGTTCGTCGTGCTTCTCGACGATTCTGCGAGCTTTCTCAGCAACGCAACGCGTGATGTGTCTCACCTGCGGACGTAGAGTTATTTCTCTTTAATTTTGTTTGAAAAAAGCGTCCCTCCCTTATTTTTTCGTTTTCCTTTCTGCGAGCGGAAAATGAGCAGCGCGAAACTAATCGGAGTCGTGCGTCAGCTGCAGAACTTCGGCAGAATCGAGGAACGGCAAACACAATGCATCGTTTCGGAGTGTTTCCATTTTTTTTTCCCGCGACCATCTCATTGTCAAATGACCGTATCTACGTGGTCATTGATCTCCCTGGATGGATGCAACTCGATTTCATACTGCGAACACGACAGACCGGCGCGCCTGCATTGTACCGTCCGTAAAGTAGCTACGCGTGGACTCTAGCGTTCAACGGGATTCCTCCTCAGATTCGTCCGGGAAATGAGAGGACAGCCATCTCACCTTTGCATCGAGGACATCGGTGCCCTCTTCGATGACTTCAGAAGCGCAACTGATATCCGCAAGATCCGCTTGAGCTGACTGCAGTCTGCTCGAATTACTGTAACCATTGGTACGCGCGTTCTCTTTATGCTCTTCGCCATTTGTCTTAGGGCTTGATTGATGGCTCGCGTGGAGATTATCTCGGGAAGCGACTCTGCGTTCGAACTTCAAGCCGCGGAAATTTCCTCCGTTGACGGGCGACTTCTTCGCCGATGCCGCCGACGACACCGGGATGAAGCTCTTTGGAATTTTCGAGGTGCGATTCTTTTTCTCGCACGATCCGCCGCCCGTAGAAGACGGAGTCGAACATCTCGACAGGTCACCAACGGAGCCGTTCGGTGAGCTCTGTAGCGATCTGCCGAGACTATCTTGGTTGCTGTCGCCACTCTCGGAACGGAGACTCTTTCCGTCGAGAATTGAAGATCCTCGCAGGGGGGTCCGTCGGAGGTTGTCCGTCTCGACCTCGTCGACTCCACTGTCGTGACTTTCGATAGAGTTGGCGATCGACGTTCCGTCGGGCGTCGGTGTGATGTCTCGGGATTCCGGGGAGGTCACCTCGAGTCGTTTGGCTTCTTCAAGTTCTCGCCTGAAATTTCCAAAGAGAAGGCGATGAGAGACGATGACGAAACTAGGCCGACGAGAGGGAACTTCTTGGACATCGATCGCTCCTGATTTCGGTAGCTCGGTGATCATGATCAATCTCAGCTGGGGGAGGGAACGAGTCGCCGTCGGATTTGTTTCCGGAGATCGGTATGTTTCTTGGTCTCGAGACGAAAACATGATCCTAGCTCTTTCGAGAAAGAGCTTCCGATACGAAAGCGAATACGGGCGGGGCTCCAATGAATCAAAATATCGGTGGGTTCAGTTATTATTACAATTCAATTATTAGTTCAATTATTACAATTTTTAGCTCTGCTGGAGCAGATTGGCGGCCGAGTGACGCGTCTCTGGTGAATTCGTCGGTCTCTGAAGGCGCCAATCGACAGCCTGAATGCAGAACATGAATCGCATATCGCCACCCTCATTTCACGACGGAGCGGTCGCGGAGCTAAACCTCCCAGAACGATAATTGGCATTCAATCGTCGGAAAGTTATGCCAATATCGCCCAGCCAGCTTCGACAAGCGATTCGAAGAGCGTGTTCTGAGAGAACCCGTCCAGCAGGGCCGAAGGAGGATCGGCCTTCTGTTTCGCAGCCGGTAGATGCACAAAAGGAACGAGGTTTCGGAGAGGTTTGCCACATTCATGAGCAGCGACAAGATCGTCAAAAATTCGTTTTTTTCCCAACGGCCCGGCGCAGTCAGGTGAACCTCACCCTTGGCGCTTCCGCGTCTTTAGATGTGAGCCGGCTCTGGATTGTTCGGCTTTCGCCGAGCACGGAATGTCATATCGTGACAAGTCATGTAGTGTTTGCACTCGTCCGTGTGTGTGTGGCATTTGGGATTGGTAGACCACCGCCGTCCTTTCGTTTCTCTCCGTTCGCCTATCCCTCTCTTCCCCTCGGTGGGTCGATCCTAAATCATTCTCGAAGTTCCGTGGGAGGCCACCACAAATGGTGGCTTTATGCGTTTTCTCATCTATTTACGGATCAAGAAACGAAACACTGAGCTAAGATCGAGCAACTCTTGACAGCGACGACGTCCGCGGCATCTGACTGAATTATGTAGCGTCGAGTTTGTGGTTCTACTGTTTGAAAAATGCCCGGATCTCCCGACCGCTCAGGAAGACAATACCCACATGTGGGTTCGAGCCGACAGCAGAAAACAGATGAGTTCTCCGCTTCCTCCCGCGGCACGAACAGAATTCGATCGAGGTTGGCCATATTTTCCATTTTTTCTCTTCTTCATTGTACCGCGAATTTCATCAAGATCGGGGCTCTTGTTGGGGTTCGGAGATGAATGCTATAATAATTCCTCATGAGTCCCCGACGGATGTTTATGCGATATCGAAGATATATGGGATGTCAACCCCATGATTGGATAGGTGCAACGATAAGCTCCGATCCGGCCTTTCGGTGAACTGCATTCCTATGTGGACTGTGCCAGATCCGACAAATTGATCGGTGATAACAAGTTTACCTTTTTCTGGCTTCCTCCTCGTCCTTCAAGCGCTTCTCCTCTCTTTCGATTTCTTTTTCCAATTCGACAAGTCCCGGAGCTTCAATGCCTAGCCTCGAGGCGATTCTGCCGAGCTCGAGGAGACACAACAGAACCGTTTTAGACTGGCTATGGAGAACTGAAACGAGAACAAAATCACGGTTTATAATATAAATAAAATAAAATATAAAATATATTCGCACTATCGATATACTTCAGTCCCGAAACGGCATGGAGCACGACGGACTCGCCTCTTTCGCTCACAACTGAAACGGCTTTAGAACATAAGGGTCCCGTATAGCTTGCTCTCGACATAGGAATACGGTTTCGACGCTCTTTGAGCATCTGCTTTGAGGCAACAAGCCGTCCGTCCAGGACGATCGCTGTTATGATCAGCGAGCTCCATTCCGAATTTCCTTCAAGGTGGATTCCGGCGATCCGGAGAGCTGTACTAGATATACTCGAGGATCGATCTCTTATATTACGTTCGATGTTACTGATCGTCGCGAGAAAGTCGTCGATTTATTGCTTATTGCCGTCGACGGTTCCAACTTGGACCCGCGACAAAGACGCGACATGATGCCACCATGACCATGTCTGGCACACGATACACACTGTCCTTCGCTCCATCAGAAAACCATCATTTCTCGGACCATTCATGGAGCCTTCCTTCAATCGGCTCGCAGACGGGCTCCGAGAGAAACGATGAGCTTGAGTGATGGCAAACGATCGCCCTTGGATTGATTTATGATCTCGTTCCCATAAATTACGTGCGAGGGAAAAAGATATAAGCGCATCATACTCGTCGATACAATACTTCAATCAAGCTCGCCCGATCGACTGGGTGTACGGAGGAACCCGTGAGCGCTGAAGCCCAGAAGACAAAGGAACGTCTCGACCTGTTCTCACCAGCGCCCACGATGAGGACGTTGATGCTGAAACGCGATGCGTGTGGCCTAGCCTCACAACGACGTCCGCCTCCGGGCAAATTATCCCTAATATACCCTCGTCGCCGTAGAAGCGATCAAGAGAAACGAACAACCACCAGGTACGGCTGGTAAATTGTCAGAGATATCAGAGGTTTTTTATTCTTCCAGATCGCGCTGTCGTGAGCGCACTGAGCACGGGACTCATTGTTTCGTTCGCTGGGCTCGCTGATAATAGCAGGCCATCAGCACCCTTAGTTGAGTAGCTGAGAGACTTGGTGATATGATGCTACTTTAGCGACTTCGACTACTGTCAGTGGCATATTTTTTGTAAAACTGCGTTCTGCCAGTCTAAGGCCATCCGAGTGAGTTAAAGAAAAGCCTCTGTTGTTCTCATCGAAGCCACTGATGTCGATTCCCGATCGGTTTCCTCGATGGTAGGACGTGAAGTCCGCGGTGACTGCCAGAAATCTTCCGCCGACCTTGACAGTCGGCACGCTGTACCCGATGCTCATCGAACATCCGACACCGTCGTTTCGAGCATCCGTGTGTACACACGGCTATGATTTCCGTTGATTTCTCATCCCGACTCGGTCTGGCCGGGAGTGGAAATTTGAAACGCCCGCCGCCGAGACCGCCCTTCGAAGACCATGGCTGCCGAGTTCGACGGGCCCGTGTGGGCGTCTTGTCGAGATATCTTTTTCAAAGCTCGTCTGTTCTCGTCACTGCGTCAGCCCATTATGAAGCTATTCGTCTTCGCGCTCAATCTCGCTCTTGGGAAAAAAAATTCAACCGAGCTCGGAAACGCTACCGTCCAGACGCTGCGTTGAAGCCCAGACCTCTCATCAGAACTGCGCCCGACCACCGTAGCGTGTTTTCTGACGTTTGTTCTAGTGACGGTCTTCTTCGGGTGTTGCGGGAATGAAGAATCACTGCTCGGGTTCTCCCACTCGGATCTTCCCGAAGTTTTTCTGCTGCCGAGATACTCCTGGGGGATCCCATCGACTCGCGCACCGCGATAGATCAGAAAAGCAGTCTCGAAGTCCGCGCTCTTCCCATGAGATCCCCCACCCATATCTATATCTCGCGATCCTCGGGGAATCGACTTACCGAGACCGTCGGACTCAAACATGATGGCTTCATTGATTCGGAGTTTTCGGCACCATTTGAGGAAGTTTTCTGTATTGTCCCTCGCGAAGAAACTCCCTTTTTTCGCGTCGGGCCAGCACTTGAAGTCGAACGGTGGGATATTTGTCTGGAAAACGAAGATTCTTCGTTGTAGTTTCGTGAACCATTATCCTGACTACGGTCGTTAATTGTGGTGCCCGCCGTTGTCCAATCGGAAGCGAAAGCCTTGTGAAGAGCGCCATGTATGTACAAGGTTTGTTAAGCAAGTGCATTGTATTAGATGAGACGGAGCCGGTTTTGACACGCGGTCGGGATGGAATCTCTCCTTTCTCGACATCAGAGGGAAGACGCCGCGCCACACCAATGATTGGGTTTGCCTCAGTTTTTTCTCGCCTTCATTTGGATCGACGCATCTCAGCTTCCAAACGGAATCAAATGATCCGCTGACGGCGATGCTATCCTCGCTCGTGGTAAATAGATCTGAGCAGGGCATCACACCCTTGATGTCATGCCCGAATTGCAACGCAAATGTTGGATTTGCCGAGTTGCGGGCGGGTCGATCGACGGGTGATGCCGGCGGGCGTCGATCAGGCGAGCCTAGCAAATTGGCAAGCCGGTAGGCGCGTGTGTGCGTCTGAGAGTATTTGTCCGTCTGTCAATGATAAACATTTATGGCTGCTTCTGTGTCCAATTGGATCAAAAGCGGAAACGCCCTGAAACTAAATTTTGAAGAACATCGGTGTCTGTCTGCCTCCCCGCCCGCCCGCTCGCTCGCTCGCTATAGGCGTCCAGGGCTCTGGCCCCCGACTTCGATCCCTGCCGGCCCACCACCGGCATGTGAAAACGCGGCGGAATTCGCAGCGAGGTGTTGTTCCTGGGCTGTGATTTGTTTTGGAATGATTTCCTCCAGAGGAGGGAATAAATTGAACGGAATGAACTGAAATATCGCTTTTATATTTACTATAATAATCTGGCCTCACTCTGCCGTCTTTGGAGCAATGAACGAGTCGAGGTAGACTCGCACAGAAGGGAGACGAAGAAGGCACAGCAATTTTCGCTGCGCAAGCTCACGGTGAGATAGGCGACGGAATAGCGGAACAGCTCGTCGGCTGTTTCTCCCCTCCCAAACGGCAGAAAACGTTCATATCAAAGACTGAAGATTAATCTGACATTCTCTCGCAACAAGGGGTTGAAATTATGTGGCCCGTCAGACCGTGCGGCTACCTACAGATCTTCTCTCCTTCATCGTAATCCTTGAAGAGATTCTCAGGCGTGACAAACTCAATAGCATCCTCTTTCGCTGGTTTTGCCGCTATATCCTCGGAGTACCCGGGAGATGGTCACCGACTCCACAGAAATATGAGGAGGGAGAGGGAGCGTCGAATTTCAAGTCTCACAGTGGTTTGAAGAACTTGATGGAATGGTCGTGAATCTCTGCTTCGACTCATGAGAGAGTTTGCTGAGAAAACGGCAACTCGAGACTTCAACTTGTCTCTCGGGTGGGTCCATGAGGTCGCGATATCGCCTCCCGCGGTACCTCCCTCCAGATCGGATCGGATTTAGAATTTCGCATAGTGCATTGCTACTCAGCTACCTCGAGGAAGTCAGATGAGGTTCTGCTCAAATTGAAGAAATTGATGAAGTGTAAGGGAATTCGAAGCGCACGAGAGGCAGACGGGAGACGGGGCGCTCCAAGAGAGCGTTTCCTCCGTTGCGTTGTGATGTCGGAAAATCCTCCAGTTTCGTCCCTTCTGTCAAAACAAAGTCCGACGCCTGCGATGATCGCACTCCTTCGGATTCCGGGGGTCTGCCACGAGATCGTTCCCGAAACAGAATTATTCACACTTCTGTGTGGATAATGACCAGGAAAGAGGGAGCTATTAATATGCTGTCTTCCCTCAGTGAGTGTTCAGACGCGTAGAGAGCCATTCACTCGTTATTAAAATGCTCGGCCTTCTCATTCACGCTCTTGAATGGAGGACTTCCAAGTTTTTAGTTTGAGCGGTGTGAACGACTTATATTCTTCCTTCAACATGAGATAATGGACATCTTCTCCCTCCGACACATAAGAATAGATGGCAAACGCGCCGAGGGAGGAAGCTAACTCAGTCGTAGAAATATCTGATGATTTATGATAGACGAATGATATTTCACAAAATATCGGGAATCGTAATGCTGCAGTGTTTTTGCTTGGACGATGAACAAGGGGCCGAGCGGGCCGCGAGCGAGCGTAACAAGTCAAAACGGAACGTGCTCACGAGATGAATGACGTCCGAAATTGCTTTTGTCGTTCGGTACCGCTGTCGTTTGCTCTTGTAAGTAGGTGTCAAGTACGTTGACCATCGGCACAGAGAGAAGAAACAAGTCCAACAAAAACCATATCGCCCACAACCGAGAAAAATGAGCCCAACGGATTTCGATCGAGCGGCGGCCGCAGAAGAACATTTCTGCGTGAGTTTTTTCGGAGCTGTGTAGGAATGGATGGGACCCGCGAAAATAGACGGATGGGGATCGTCGTGAAGAAAATGACGCAATGCTTCAGCTGGACTGAAGATGAGAGAAGACGAGAAGCATGCGATGATGAATTGACGTCCCATGCATGATGTATAATCGACGCGACGCCCCCCATGTGCACTCACTCACCTTAGTTTTGGTTTCGTCTTCAATCATCTGCGCCCTCATCTGTATGAGTCTCGCGAGTTTGCAAACTACCACACCGTTGTCCAGCTTGCTCATGAAGTTGTCGGCTGTGATGTCCTCTGTGTCTGAAACAGAAGAGAATATTCCGGGGTTGATGAATCACGTAGCGACCACATCTGATGACAATCTTCCAGTTTTTCCGCCCGATTTCATTCTCCGCGACTCTAGTTTTGGTATTCTAAACGTCAATCCCACATTCGAAGGATAAACGAGAACTACCACCTATTATGCGCTATAATCACAGAAAAATATGGCCGAAACGACCTCAAGCCGAAGCAAGCGATGAATCACCGAGCAAGCTATTACAACTGCTTCCGGCAGAAGTCGTTTCTCAAAACTTGAGCTCTTGGAGCCGGAGTCGACTATCGCCTAGCGGTTGGAATTGTTCTGACTCCGCCAGCTTTGTTTGCGCTGGCAGAAAGAGCCGATCCGGCCAGAACTTGGAAATACGGCCACAAGAAGCCAAATTCTCGAGGAAGCTTGAGCCATGGTGTCGGTCGGTCGGTCGCTTCGTCAGTCTGACGGCTCTCGGCTCGCTTGCCGAACCGAACTACCCCTCCGTCGAGGATCGGTTCTCGGTCGAGCCGTTTCTCCGCGAGATTCGAGGTGCAAGGCTGGCGACAACATCCCCAATATTTTCCGTAAGCGCTTAGACGTGAATCCACGAAAACCAACTCGGTTCTCCCGATCCCGTCTTCCTTAAAAATGAATTTCCCCTCCAGTACATGTCTGTCAACGAGGAAAACTCTCGATGGACTTTCCCCGATTGACGAGAACGATACTCACGCATAAACGTGATCTTGGACCAACGCATGTAATGGGAAACATGCATTCGCTGATTCGCCGTCTGATCGACAGAAAGGGAGGAATGAAGCCGAGGAAAAATTTCGATTGAGAGGCGGAGAAAATAAAGGATGTAAAAACTGGTCCACAATGACGACACAAGGACAATCGGATCACAGACAGATGGACTGCTTTGAGACGTGATGAAAAAAAGAAATCTGTTCGCCGCATCGTTTGCAGACCTTGAATCCTTTTTTCCCCCAAGTACCCCATCGAGCCAACGATATCTCGAGTTGTCGCTTTTATATATATATTTTTTGGAATTCAGATATCCGGTCAGTTTTTTTTTAGTGAGGATTGAGCAATACGAAGGTGAATTGTGGTGTCAATCTATGAAGTTGTTTTTCAATTCCCCCGGTCTTCGGAAACAGTGGCATTCGGGCTTGGTCCGAAAATCGCACTCACCTAAGATTGTGTTGAGCCAGTCGGCCAGATCTTCTTTCAGTGGCCAAAGATGAAGTTCTTCGCGCTGTTTCACCCGAATATACACTTCGTCGATACTTTCGTCACGCGTCCCGGTGGACGCGGCGCTGCATATCGAAGACTCGTCCGAGCACAGACTGTAGGCATCGTCAACCGCGCCTCGTTCTGGGCTGGCCATGATTCTGAAATAGAGATCCAAGTCAGTTTCCAGAGTTTCCGTAGCACACATCTGATCACCGCAAAGTTGCGTTAGATTTTTTTTCTCTGGGAGCCCTTTCCTGGGCCGAGACCAGCCCCATGCTGGGAGTGTCGGACAGATGATCGCTTCTGATAACTAATAAGCCAGTATCTGCATCGGGAGTCGGTGTCGACTCCAACGGAGATGTCTGCGTATCCAGATCCAATGAGTCCCACCATTTATATTCAAGTTCATTCGCGGGTCTACGATTTCTCGCGTCAATAGCTATCCTGGGTTGAGTCCAAAAGCTCGATCCGTCAAACACGCTTGATCCAAAAGCCACCCACACGGGGAAATGACTGTGTTAAAATCAAAAATGTCTTTCGATTCCCTGACAGACGATCCCACGCGAGCGACTCCCTCTATTCGTTGCGGTCGCGTGGGGTGCCAGATACTCTTGGAAAGTAATTTCGCAGAGGCCAGGAACCCCGATGGCCGTCAGCTTTGCAGATCCTCCCGATCGTCTCGGCGAGCTTAGAATCTCGTCTCAGTGTTTCAGACGCTGTTCCAGTGAATAGTATTTGAATCGTGCCCACGACGTTTGATGCACCAAGTCCCGGCCTCGCTTGGGATGCTCGGGGAACTTCGAGCGCAATTCGCTTGCATTGTATCCGCACCTTGAAGAGGGGCGGCTGGTGATCGGGGGAGCGACGGAGCCATCACCGCGGTCAGTATCGAGCCATCAGTTTCGTGGTTGTTACTCACTTCTGCGTACAAACATTGAATAGAATTGCTTCAGAGCTTCAGCCTTGACTTGTGTCAGATCGCCTCTCGGCCGCAGCGGATTTCAAACCGACACCGCAAGCGTCAGGAAGGAAATAAGGAAAAGACAAAGGAAAAGCCAGGCGCAAAGCATCGATCTAAAATTGTTGTGAAGGAATTTCGCATCGACGGTATCGAGGGAGGGAAAAGAGGTGAAAGTGATTCTGAATGGGAGCCATCCGGTATTCGCAACACCGGTTCCGAAAATAAATTCACGTCATGACGGCTGGAGAGATCAGCGAGTAACACTAACCTGTTCGGCCCGAATTTGGCGTTGCTGAAATCCTCCGACTGTGTGCGTAGGTGCTGTTTGTACCGCGCCCTCGGTGACGCCGTGGACTCCATTGTATTTTACTTCCGGGGAGCTCCTGGCTACGATCACATGGCGATCTGAAAGAGAATTCCGAGCTCAATGTGTATGTCGTCCATAAGCCACATTCTATGTCTTCGAGCTCAAGCTACAAATTCTCGAGCTCAAGCCACAAATTCTCGAGCTCCAGTGGGGAGCCTCCGCAGATCACAATCATCTTCCGGATTATCATCGGTGGGGATCCAAACAACTCCGGAATGGCGTTGATGGGCCTCATTCAGGGCTCTCCGCGTACGCCAGCGATCATTGTCAAATGAAGCTTGCTACTACTAGATAATAGCGGAATATCCCAAACGGGTGGCGTGCTTATTCGAAATGAGTGATCGGAAGATGTCGATCAGGTAGACGCCACGATGAGAGGAAATTTCGAAAGGACCAGGTACGTATTTTCGTTGTATGGAGCAGAAATGGCATGTCTCAGCTCGAGAAAAATCGAAGGCTTTTGCAATGAGAAGACAAGTCGTACAAGCAACAGGGCAGGAATCCGAGCAACGAATATCTGAAGGATATACTTGACAGGCCGCTGGAACTGCATTAACAACAGCGACGACGACGCAACAGTATCGCCGAGCATGTTGACCGCCGACTTCAACGTCAAGTTCCATCGGCGTGTCGTTCGGTGGAAACAAGGGACGAGAACTCATTTGCATTCATCACTCGAAACAATGCACGAAAGCGACTGAGCTCCGAATCAGTCAGCTGACCTCTCGTTGGACTTTTGATGCTGTCATAACATAACACACAATATTAATGTCTCTCCGTACGCCAGGTGGGTCACCAACCGGACTCTTGTGCGCGGCGGCAACGCCAATTCAAAATTCAACCGTCACTCCGTTTCACAAAGGTATCACGTGGAACAAAAATAATTTCTACGGAGCCCTTGCGATGACGCCGACGTTTGAGTTCGCGAATTTCGGCGTGAAGGGCCAATCACGGACCAATATTACGGAATGAACTTGTAGGAGTTCTGTTATCGGATCCACGATACACGAGGTGATTCACGTTGTCATTGGCCCGATTTCGATGCGGGAGGCGAACAGCGTCCACGCTGTGCCCGACTGAGATCGCATTTCGTTTTGGGGTCTAACCGCTAAACGCTCGATTAATATTCGAACACTGAACGCACATACCGGAGCAATCCGACACGAAAATTCATGAGGTGTGCCATTCCCTGAATCGATGTCAATCGTATCCCAGGCGGTGGAATTCCTGGACACCGGCTCAACACGCGACAAGGCATCTCGCTGATAACGTTAGACTAAATGAGGGAAGTGCGGTACCTGATGGGTTATATAATTGCTGAAGTTACTCGTCGATTAATATGTGACTCTGGTCACGGCGGCAGGCGAGCCTGCTGGACTCTCTCAGAAGCTGGAGTCGTTACGCGCTGCTGCCTAAAAACCGTTACCGCGTGGACGGCCGAAGGCGCGCATAATGAAAATTTAAATTCTTCGTGGAAATGAAATATTTTCTTCCCCCTTTTCTGTGTCCGCGTTCTTCATCCGCTCCTCGCTGGTTTGTAGCTGGCTTGTTGTTCGCCTGGTCGGTCTGGACGGTTGGTTTGTCCAAGGTTTGCTCGGTTGGTCGATCGTTCGTTCTTTCGTCTTGTTTCACTCCCCTCGAAGAGCGATGGACCGTGGAAGAAAATTGGCGCGTTTTCCCTTCTCTGCTAGAATTGAAGACGATTTTCGAAATTTCCATATCTTCGCAACCAGAGAAGAAACAGATCGCCGCGACGAATGCCAATGTAATCAGCTTGACAAATTCCAATGATTCATCCATCGGCTCGCAGGACAGAGCGGCTCGTGAATGAATGGGCGTGAGCAAAGATTTCTCGTATTTTACTCGAGATGATATCCTTTCGATCGACTAGGACTTAGTTAGTAGTGAATTGCTTCCGGACTTTTCGGGTCTTCGGAGTCCAGCAAGAGGATGCTTGCTAGAGCTGAGCCGTCGAGTATACGTATATTGAGAGGCAATGACACCTCAGCAAACGGGACACCACCGATTTCTATTGTAGATGTGTCGATTTTCCGTTTCGTCCTTTGTTCGTCTGAATGGACCGATGTAAGCGGAATGAGAACGGGAAGGCTGAGAAATTTCCGAAAGTACTTCGGAGAAAATGGTTTTATTTTTATGCCAGACGCCATCCCATCCGAAACTATTTCCATGTTGTTCGTCCCTCTCTATTCCACTCTTTTCGTTCATCATTTTCCGGGCGATCCGTTCGGTTTATCTCTCAATCCTCTCATCTACTTCCATGTCCGTCAGCGGAAAAATTCGTCATGATCAAGGTGTTCCTGCGTACGCGATCGGGGACCCTATGGGGGAGCGGCACCCGGCTCCGTCGGGGCTGTGGATCTCATAATTTCCCATTATTTTCTCTGTTATTCTTGTTACTTAACAACATTGTCTGTTGCCCCGCTGCAGCCGCAGCCGCCGCCGTGCGCCGCAACCACCACCAGTGCCGACATGCATTAGCGAGCCGGAGCGGCCGACAACGGCACGAAGCGTCCAAAGTCAGTAAGTCGGCCCGCTGACCATTTTCTCCGCAGCGAGAGCGGGAGAAGCCAGGCCGATTCAAGCGAACGAGGGAGTTCCGATTCAGGAAACAACGACTTCGACACTTCGCCGGCAGAGCCAACAACGGTGACCACGGCACGGCAGAAGCAGCAACAACAGTGACGACGACCAGTACCTCGGAGCGGATTGCGGATCAGATCGAGATGGATATCAGCATCACCGGCGACGGATTCAAAGAGACTTCACCCTTCCGACGCTGGATGATCGACTGACTGCAAATAGCTCGATTCCACCGCCTTCATTCCGCTCTGTGCCGGAACTGAATCGACGATTGTTGTCACAAAACGCAATCATTTCTAGAATAAGTTTTTCTTCGCCAGTATTTCTCTCTCTCGCCCTCGATCTTCCTGATTCTTCCGGAGTCCATTCACGCTCCCTCGCAGCCGAAAAAGTCGCGAATGATCGATCGATGAGCATCTTATCGATCAGAAAGCGCGTCCAGAATGTTGGCCCCCGGGCCCCCGGTGATTATTGCACGGGCGAGAAGAATTCCTCCGCTGGAGCGAGAGGTGGTCGATCTTCGAGGCTCAGAAATCTACTGATTCGTCGAGAGCCAGAGGGCGACGATTCGCGGACGCTTCCAAACAGGGACGTTTTCTGCGCTCGCCGTCGGAAGGTCGAGCTCGTTCGCACTCCTTGAATCCGATTTCCGACCTATCGGCTCCTCAACGGAGGCTGGAAAGATCCGGCCGGACTTTCACTACCGTTCTTTTGTACGAGCAGCGCCAGAATCATCATTCTGAAACGCACCGTAATTTGTGCATGGGTAAGGTACAAAGAAATACGGCGAACGAGAAGCACCACGATCCAAAACGACCGGCCAGCGATCAGGGGCTCGAATCGCACTTATGTGATCGACCGCCTGCCCGCTCGCTCGACTGCCCATTTTCGTGATCACGTCCCATCTCAACTTTAACCCCGAAACAACTTTCTTCCCTCCTTTTTATTTTTTTACACTTGGTATCCCGACAGTTATTATTGATACCGAGTGTCTTCCACCCCTCATTTCTCAGTATGCCCGCTATTGTATTCGGTTGCGACATGACCAGCCTGCACGGTTTTCGTCACACTTAATCGTTACATGCATGAAGAATGTAACGCGAACACGCTTCTACAATGAGGCCTCTGTTGCAAGCGTCGACAAGGAGTTGATTGACTTATCGATTCCATATGCATGCTCATGCCCGATCCGGTCGTCGCGACGTCTTCCCCTTGATGATAGTCTGTCTCGTTCTTCGCTAGACTTGGGAGACGAGAATCGCTTCGCTCCAGCACTCTTGGGCGACTTGCGCCGCCAACGTTTTGAAACCTGAAGCTCCATTTCCAGTCCCTTCGTAGGAATATTTGGCGCGATTGGTGCCATTCATTCTACCGACTTGAATAATACGTCCTCCGACTCTCTCATGTTATACGAGTGTCCGGATGTAAATACCATCATGTACACACATCGAGAGGAGCTCTATGACGTTATGAGCTGCGCTCGACAAATTACCGATAGACCGCGCATATCGACACAAGATCGAAACTCGTAAAAATTCTCGGCGGACAGGACCGCCCGACAAGCCGTCGTACGCCTCTCGTCTGCGGTCTCCCATTATTTCCGTGGGGGACTCGAAGCGAAGATCACTTAACACCGACTTTAATCCATCATTGACCGAAATGTCGTATCACGACCGTGGTCATTTTCGTGATTTCGACAATTTTGTACGACGCCGACCGCGACGACGGAAACAAGAAGCACGGGCGTCCAAACGGACGAACGAACTAATCAGTGAAAGATTGAAAAAGATACAATGATACCGAGACGTGGAAACCACGTGACTTGGGTGCCTTCGTCGCTGACCGCGCGGATCAGTCGGACCTCCTGAAAGGCTGATTCGCCGAAGAAAGGACGCAGGAATTTCAGCGCGAAATGCGACGAAGTGTTCGAATCGACCGGATTGAGGATCTCAGCGAATTACGCAACGCTTCACGCTCAGCGTCAAACGCTCGCGTGTGAGTTACTGATCACGGATGAAAGCTATTTCATTGTTAATAGACGAAAGCAAAAGAAGACGACGTCGGCCGTTTCGGAGGACTACGTTTCGGTCTTTTGTCGGTTGGCTCGGTCAGCCTTGCTCACTCCTTCGCGGATCCTCCATTTGATCATCCTTGAGCTCGCAAGACAGATGGACCCCATCGTCCCGCGCAGTCGCACGCAGACCACTCGGAAAAGAGTCTGTCAGAAGGCCCGGAGTTTTCGCCAGAAATTTGAGGAAAAAACACGAAATTATCCCAAATTACAGCGTCTCTCCCAGTCGACGGACCGAGTCCCTTAGCGATCGCTGTGCGTGCCATGGCCCCGCAAGACATCGCAGCGTGCCGAAAAAAACGTGACTCGGGGAGGAAGCGC